GGTCTCCAGGCCTGCTTGGAGGCAGAGCCTGACCTAAGACAGATGACACAGAAGCAGGAGCCTGTCTACAGGACCCTTAGCACAGGCCCCTTCCTCTTGAGGGTCCTGGCTGGGCTGCAGCCTGTGAATCTTACCCCCTGAGGCAGCACCTGGATTCCAGGCTTCAGCAGTGCCACTCAGAAGGATCATGGGGAAGGGAATCTGAAGAGGTTTTGTGCCTCACCTACCCCTGCTCTCCCCCACTGGCAGCAATCTCCTCAACTGTGTGAAGGCAACACCGGCCATCACTAGCATGTGCCATCTCAGGATAGCTGGTGTATCCTAGTGGGCACTGAACCTTGACGTGGGGCCCAGGAACAGCAGATACCCACCCCAGAGGAAGGTCACCCAAGAAGGTTACTGAGGCATGTGTAGGGCCTAGGGTCCCTTTGGCTTCTCTCTCCCTGTCTTCCACCAAGACTGTCCAGGGCCTCTCAAGGTTCATCAGGCTCTCCCTTTCCCCAGGCAACCTGAGGCACAGCCTCTTGCGCCCCCTGCTGGCCACCAGGGACCTCTCCATTTGAGACCAATCGGGACTCCTAGATGGGACAGGGTTGGAAGAGCCTCCTAAGTGCCCCACAGGCCTAGGCCCCTGCAGAGTCCTCCCCTGAATCCCTAGCCTCACTAGCCAACCACCTCCACACCACAACCACAGACTCCTCATGGCCACAGGAGCAGTTTGAGCACATTCCATCCCTAAGTAAGTCGAGGTGGCACCAACGGGGACCCAGGAACTGCAGGCCCCTAACTTGGGACCACTTGGCAGTCCTGACTCTGAGTCTCACACAGGGGCACTATCGCCTCCTTACAGCCCAGGCTTGAGCTACACATGTCAAACCCAGAGGTGCACAGAGCAGGGGGACAGCAGATACGAGCAGAGACTCTGGTATCTATCCATCCACTGGGCTGAGGCATAAGGGGTCAAGGGAAAGTCCTGCTCATGAACCAGAAGGTAGCAGGAGGCCAAGTGGTGGCTCTGGGGGATAAGCTGGGATCCTGGCTACAGGGAGTGAAAAGTGGGCCTCACTGTATGTGACGGGCTGGCACCCCACCAATCTACAGAATATTCAAAGGCCCAAGGGAGCACAGGTACTGTGACAGGACTGTCCTGCTGGAGGAGCAAGCAGGGGGACAGGGCTGAAGCCCCCGCAGCCTGAGTCTGTGGGGAAATTGCCTGAAACCAGACTGGCTTCGGCTCTTCTGAACAGGGTGTCCCTTTCTCTGGGTCCCTTTAAAAAAAAAAATAAAGATGGCTGAGCAGTGGTGACGCACGCCTTCAATCCCAGCACTCAGGAGGAAGAGGCAGATGGATCTCTGTGAGTTCAAGGCCAGCCTGGTCTACAGAGCAAGCTCCAAGACAGCCAGAGCTACACTGTGAAACTCTGTCTGGAAAAACAAAAACAAAAAAACAAACAAAAAAAGATGTATTTGACGTGTATGAGTGTTTTGCCTGCATGTATGTATATGTGCACCACAGGTGTGCTGGGTGCCTATAGAGGTCAGAAGAGGGTGTCAGATCCCTTGGAACAGGAGCTACACACAGTTATGAGCTGCCATGTGGGTACTGGGAACTGAACCCAGGACCTCTGAAAGAAGAGCCAGTGCTTTTAACTGCTGAGCCATCTCTCCAGCCCTCCTTTTTTTAAAAAAAATAAAAGGTTTTACTATGTATCCATCCTAGGCCAGCCTCAAACTCAATAATCCTCCTGCCTCAACCTCTTGAGTGTTATAATTACAGGCATATACATTATCATGCCTGGCCGGGTCCCTTTTCAATTGGCCTGTGCCTGTCACCCCTGGGTGGTCTGTAACTCTCCTCTCTCAGCAGCCTGGAACTGCACTCAGGACTTGGGGGGTGGGGAGCCACAGAGCGTCCAACAACCCGACCTTTCTTCCCTTACCCCAGAAGGGTAGAGCTGGGGTTCTGACCCCCAGCACTGGCTCTGTGGAGCTGGGCCCCACCAGGCAGCTCCTCTCCTCTTACCTCACTTGCTGGGCAAGTGCCCCAAGTTTTCAATTGCTCCCCCAAAATTATTTAGCCACAGCCTAGGCGATCCACACTGCTTCTCTGATCCTGTCCTTCTTCAGCAGCAGGCAGGACCACGGTCTGCTCATAGGTGACCAGCCTCTAGAGGGACCATCACCTCCAGAGACCCCCAAACCTGGCCACTCCCAAGGCACCCAGTGTCCTGCCTCTTACTCCCAAAGCATTGCCCAGAAAACAGGCTTGTTGTCACCTGGCTCAGAGTCATCAGACGGTGCAGCACCCCCTTGACCCCGAGTACACTGGCCTTCATCCGGACACAACCCTAGACTCCTCCTCTCCCCGCTCCACAACATCGAGAGAACTCTGGGGTAACCACATCCATACCCACTCCATCACACCTACGGATGGATCCCCATCTGCTCAAATACGCTCAAGGATGGGGGCTTCGTGACTGGACAGTGGAGGAACAGCTCCAGATGCTGAGAACTTCTCTATATGGAATCAAATCTTGCCTCCCTATCCAGGGCAGAGCAGAAAGCATCACCTCTCTCCCTGGGAGCTGCTTGGGAATGGGACCCTGAGAACAGGAAGTCCCAACTGAGGCTCAGGCCCTGCCTTGGCACGTCATCGGCACAATGTGTCGGTCACTCCATGGAAATGGAGTTGCCTCTACCAACCAGGGTGGGTTGCTGGCACGAGGCGTGGACTGGGGCTAGTACAGTATTCTGGGCAAACAGCTGCTAGGATTGGCTCCCTGGTTTGAGGTCCTATTCCCAAATCCTTTGTATGGCGGTCTGTGGTCCAGTATCACCCTTTGCCATGTCCCCTTATGGCCCTAGGTGTGGAGCAGACATTGACCAGAATGCTTGCCACAAGGAGGCCCAGCAAAGAGCAGGGGTCAGTCACTGCTCCCTGGCTATTTTGTGGGAGGGCTAAGGACACCTATGACACTCACCTGCCTTGGTCACTCCCATCCTCTCCCTCCCAGTGTGCAATATGTACTTGTTGGGCGGCAGAGTCTGGTATGGAGCCCTGTGAAGTCTCACTCTCAGGGAGAGACAGAAGGCACACCCAAAACCTGGGAGAGAGGCTTGATTATTCCCCACACACTACAGATGAAGTCCATGATTACATCCAGCGTTCCCAAACACTGTGGCATGCTGGGCACTGTGCTAAGCAGTCTACATAAGGGGCTTCTTTTAATCCTTAGGGCAACTGAGTGAGGTGCAGTGACCTGCTCAGGGTCACACAATTGCAAAGAGACAGAAGGCAGAGGTGAGGCAGATCTCAGAAGTCCCAGCACCCAAGGGAGCCCCCCCCCCCCCCCCGGCAGAATCAGGCGCATCCCTGTCTGCAGATGGCCTATCCTGCTAGCAGCTCCTGAGGCAGCTGAAGATTAAGAGACACCTTGTCCACAGAGTCTCACGCCGGGGCAAGCTCCACCAGGCACACTGTGATGCAGGCAGGTTCCTTTGCCTCTCGGAGCCTGCGTTTCCCCATGGCACCTGGCACATCACCACAGCGGTAAGTCAAGGTATCAGCGATGATCTTTGTCCCTCTCCTCTCGGCCTCCGCACTCCTGCCTAGCTCATCTCTGGTCCACTCCTGCTTTCTTCCTGTCACCACCCATATCTCCACCTCCCTCAGGATATATCCTCCCCCTTGCCGGAGATGATCCCACGGCTACAGAGAAGCTAAGCTGGGTCCCCAGCAGACCAGGGTAGGTCTGAAGGCTACAGAGGGCCAGGTGCCGAGACCAGCCCTCTTCTCATGCCACTTGGGGCCCCGGGAGGGGTGGGACAGCGTGTCTTGTTCTTTTTTCACCCCTTCAGGTCAGACAAATGCTTCAGGCTCCCAGCAGATGTATCGAGGGAGCAGAGGCCAGCTTGATCGCCAATCTGGGGGAGCGGCAGCCAGCCAACACCAAAGCCCAATGCCAGGCACCACCCGTGCCAGCAGATTGTATCTGACATCACTGCCGCCCCCTTGCCTGGTGACCACGGCAACTGGAGGCCGCCCCCTCCTCTTCCCACCCCCAGAACAGTCCTCATGTTCCTTCTGACCATGGGCCTCCTGTGCCGGATGAATGGGGGGGGGGGCATTTTAAATCTCCCACAGCTGGCAGGGCCAAGCTGCGAGGCAGTTAGGAATGTGGGCTCTGGCTTTACACACCTGACTCCTAGGTTCAGATCCCCGGTCTACCACTTGCCAGCCATGTGTCCACAGGCCAACCCCTTCACCTCTCTGAGCCTACTTCCCTCCCTAACCTATAGGTGGGAATGAGGTCAGGACCTAACCCAGAAGGGAGGAGCAAGCTGAAACAGCACTCCACGTCTATTGTCACACAAATGTGTGCGGGGAGGGAGCTGCCTCTTATGAACTGTGGGGCCTTGTCCAAGTCACACGACCTCTCTGAACCTCAGTATCTTCATCTAGAAAGCCGGGTGACAATACCTTCCCTGCTGAGCTGCCACAGCCATGGGTAAGGCACAGAAAACGTGTGGCACAGAGCCCAGTGCGTCACAGGCAGAAGTCCCCCAGAGATATCCTTGCTAGCTCTCTCCATGTCTCCCTTCTATCCCAATTCCTCTCAAATCTCAGGCCAGCTGCCCCTTTCTCCTTCCCTCTGTTAACTCTACAGCCAGAGCTGTGATCAAGCCGCACAGTATCCCAGAACGATGCCCAGGTCTGAAGAGTGGCCAGGTGCTGACCAAACCATGGGAACCACTTCCCTTCCGAAGCCATTGCTTCCTCATCCGTGACATGGAGCTGTGGCTCCCATCTTCTCAGGCAGTGGCAAGTACCCCATAGGGCTGTTCCTCGTTTTGATAGAAGTCCCCCCTCTCCACTGTTCCTGAGCCATGAACACCCTCTTGCCTCCTAAACCAGCCACCCCAAATCGCTATGCCCTGGCAAGGACTCCATGATGACCCAGGTGGTGAGAACTTGTCCTCTATGCTGCCCAGTCCCCTACCTTGGCAGCCCGGCCCTTGTCCATGCAGGCTGGGTTCTGGCAGCGCAGTCCCTTCTCCTCTGCTGGGCTCTGGTCTTCTGTGGAGAAGCAGAGGGCATCAGTTCATGGGGGGAGGGGGCACCCACACTCCCCTGGGCCCTTGTGGCCTCCAGGCCAGGAGACTGGTAGGGCGGACTGTTCAATCCTGCCTTCAAAGGAAGTCAGTGTCCTTTTCTCTTTTAAATGCCAACTTATCTGCAAGGGAATCTGTTTGCAAAGCCCTTCTCTGTGCAGTTCCCCGGGGAAATTGTCCAGATTCCAGGGGGTAGTCTTTGGAAATCAGCTACTCCCTCCTCAGTCCCACTACTGGGAGGGGGTAGCTTAGTAACCTCCTGGGGCCCCAGACTTTCTAAGCAATCCGAGGCAGGGCCGCTGGGTGGGAGGAGGGGGACTCCAAGGGTCCAGGATGCCCTTCCTAGCCCTGTTCTCCAACTCAGACCCTTTAAAGCTAGACATTCCCTTCCCGGGGCCTGGGGCGACCTCTGTTCCCTGCTGTCCATCTCTGACCGTGAGTTTGGCCCCCTCCAAGCCCTTTCTTCCCAGAGGCTTGGGCGCCGCAGCGAGGGGGCAGGGGCGAGGGCAGGGCAGCTGCAGCCAACCCCGGGCGCAGAGGCCGGCGTCCACCCGGCTCCAGCAAGGCCCTCCCCGGGGCAGGCCCGGCCCCCACCCCGCGCGGCGCCCTCCGAGCCACCCGGACGGCCAGCCGGCCTGCAGGGCGGGAGCAGACGTCCTCCGGGTCGCACTCACCCATGGCGCCGAGCCGCCAGGAGCGGAGCGCGGGAGCCGAGAACCGAGTGCGGGAGAGGAGAAGCGAGCGCCGCGGCCGCCAGGCGCGCGAGGCGGGGCGGGGCAGGTGGGCGGTGGGCGGAGCGCGGGGCGGCCCGCGGGGGGCGGGGAGCCGGCGGCCCCCGACGGCGCCTCCCCGTGAGACGGGGTGTGTCCCAGGTGGGGTCCCACCCTGCCCAGCTCCCCGCCCCTCCGGCCCCTCCAGGGATGGCCACGCGCGGGTAGTGTGCCCCGATTGCTCTCAGCCTCCTGCACCGTGGCCCGCACTGCGGCGGCTGCTGCTCAGGCCGGAAGTGCCTCCAAGGAGAAGGCGCCCCCTGCACCCAGACACGCGGGTCGGCGACACGCACGCACCCCCTCTGCTCCATGCCGCGCCCCCACTCATTCGGTATGGCTGCCACCCGCTGCAGTTCCAGGGTTTAAGGACGCGGTGGAGGTGGGCGGACCAGAGGCGGGTGACCTCCTTGAATGGCTGCTGCTGTGGTTTTAGCTTAGCAAATGCACAAAACTTAACTTTCGCAAAATTACCAGCATCCAGGCCAGGCAGCCCAGCACTGGGAGACCCCCAGCCCGGCAGGCCCCACGCGCTGGGTTTCCTCAGGAGCACCACTGCCCTGGCTAATACACGTTGGGAAGTTTCCCCTAATCATTTATGGAAGTGGGATTATTACTAGGTGGACAGCTTTTTATTGTTGTTGGTTTGTTTTGTTGTTTTTGAGTCAGGGACTCACTGTGTAGTCCTGGCTAAGCTCAAACTCACAGAGATCCACCTACCTCTACCTCGGAAGTGCTGGGATTTAAGTGTGGGGAGTGCCCCCACACTCCTACACCAGACAGCCTTTTAAACCCTTGTGTAAGAGGCCCATAAGATGGCTCAGGATAAAGGCTTTGGCTGCCCAAGTCCGGCATCCTGACCCCAAACCCAAGGTGGAAGGAGAAATCCCGCTGTCCTCTGGTTCTCTGCATGCATGTTTTGGTATGTCTAAGAGCCCATGCTGCACACACATACAGTAAATAAAATTAATATTTGGGGCTGGAGAGGTGGCTCAGTGGTTAAGATCACTGACTGCTCTTGCGGAAGACCCAGGTTCAGTACCTAGCACTCACATGGCAGGGATCCCAACCATCTAGAACTCCAGTTCCAGGGAATGTGGTGGCCTCTTTTGACCTCTTACGACACAAGGCATACACATGCTGCATATACACGCAGACAGACACAAAATAAAAATATTTTTTAAAAAGCCTGACTCCACTAAGGACTCAACGTTCTGGCGTCTGCCTGCAGACCTCATCCACTGTGCCTGCAGGCTGTGTGCTGCCGAGACCTAGGCATAAAAGAATGAGCTTGGACAGGGGAAGAACCCTTCAAAGTTGGAGAGCAGGGTGCTTGATATGGACCCTGTCTCTGAGAACCCAGTCTCTGTTAGCTGAATGAAGGGTCTTGAGTTTCCTGCACTGTCCATTCAGCAAATATGTGTCAGGCCCTGGGCTGGGTATAAGGGACCCAGTGATGACCCTGATAAGCCTTGGGGAGCTCACAGTGGGCCTGGCAGGAGGGGGACTTCTGGAGAGCAACAAAACCCCAATGTAGTAAGGAGAGGGCTCCAGGGCAAAGAGCTGTAGTGCAGGATATCTCAATCTTCTCTGTTGGGCAGCTGTTCTCCAGTGAGACATTGAGACCATTCCTGCACATGAGGCCTCCTGTCTCACATTCTCTGGTCCAGCCACACTCGCCGCAGCGCTGACCTTCTCAGAATATCTGCCTCTGTAGCCGTCAGGAAGACCAGGCTGCTTGTCCTGACGCATAGGTGGGACCGGCCTTTAGAAGACCCTCTGGGTCACCAATCCTGCTGGCCCCAGCAGCCCTGCCTTCCAGGAGGTAGCTGACTCAAGTGAATGGATGTCAGGACTCTGGCCCACCACAACTGCAGCAGCCTTGTGGGGGTTTCCCATGCACCCCACCCAAGGAGTTTGCTCCCGGAAGATCTCAGTCTCTGGGAATCTCGGTCAGGTTCTAGCACCCTTTGGCCCCAAGACCTCAGAGTTCTGACTCCTAATTCATTCTCTCCACCTTTCTCTCTCCCTGGGGTTTCATACAGCCCAGCCTTGAACTCATGAAATGGCTGGAGATAACCTTGAATTTCTGGTTATCCTGCCTCCCCATCCTAGGTGCTAGGATTACAGATGTGCACCTCCATATCCTGCTTATCTGGCTCCTTACTCGGCATACTTGAGGCTATTCCTCTGCCACCAGAAACCATATGCCTTAGAGTCCTTTAGGTTCTGCTACACCTGTTCCAGGACAAGCCACCATGAGCCCAGATGGCCTGCGGTGGCCACAGCCTGAGGAAGTACTTCTAGATGCGTCTCTGGAGTGCTTTCCCCCCCAAGCTTCTGGGTGCTATGATCTCCTGGCCTTTGCCCTCTGGGCTCCAGTTCAAAGCATGGAATCTCCTGAGAGAAGGACTTTGGCATGTCTCAGCGCCCAGAACGGTGCTTGGGCTGAGGGAGCAGGCAGAGCAGACAATCCGCCCCCAACCCTGCCCCAGGGCAAGCATGACCTCCCTTCCAGGAGATCTCTCATCCCTGCAACCCAGGCAGAATGGGTGGGCCTGGAGGGCTGCACGAGGGGGCACATCCTTCTGTGCCGCTATCTCCTGGACATGCTGATTGGACAGAGATGCTACCTAGCCAAGCTCAGCCAGATTTGCTCTCCCGAGTGTCTGAATTGGGTCCTGAGGGCATGGAGAGTCAGTCTGAGAGACAGGAAGCCTCGAGATTGTTGGGAAGCAAGAAGGGGACTTTCAGAAGAAACTAGTCAGTGGGAAGAGCCTGGGGCAGTGAAGACAGGAGGAGGTGGCTTGGGCCTGCCTCTACTACCTGCCCTTGGCTTACCCAGGGTCCCTTCCCTCTCTGCCTTGTCTGCCCCTGTACCTTAGCCTGGCCCCGGGCAGACCTGGAGCTCTGAGTTTGCCCTTCCTCTATCCCCCAAACCCCACCCCCATGCTAGAGATTGTCTCCCCGAGTCTGAAATACCCAGTTTGCCTTCTGCTCCTCTGGCTCCTGCTAGCCTCCTCCTAGCCTCAGGAAAGCCAGGGTCCCTCAGCCAGGAAATAAGCCCACTTGCACCTCACCCCCTGCGTTAGTCACAGGACGCACAGCTTTGGCTCCCCCACCCCACCCCCAAGCACGTTCTATACCAGATCCAGGCAGAAGCCGGGCGGGCAGACGTGTTTTGTTTGGCTGAGCATGGTGTTTCAAAAGAATCTCAGTTGGTTGCCAAGTCTGAAAAGTCAGTAGATTTTACATAAAAATCCAAATTGTTGGCTCCTCTTGACAAACCAGAGAAGCCAGGCAGCTCTAGATCCATATTCCAGAAGGTTCCAGTTCTCATGCTGTGTCTGTCTCAGATCGGCTCAAACTGCCACCATCCAGCATCCTTGTTCCACCCTATGGTTCACTCCAGCCCCTCCCTGGGCCATTCGGGTCCTTTGCAGTGTTCCCTCTCCAGCACTGGCCACCAACGTCCTGCCATTTCTTCTTGGCTCAGGAATGCTGTTTTCTGCCCTGTTGCAACACATCTAGACCCAGGTGGACCTCCCTGCTTGACCCCCCGTCCTGGGCTGTGCCTTTGAAGCAACCTATTATTTCTTCCCTAGCCTCTCCAGATAGCTTCCAGAAGAGCTCTCACATATCAAACCTATGTGGCATCTGCTAGCCCCAGATGGCAGCCACTGGTCCCTACAGTGAGGGAGCCCTCAAAGGGAGGCAGTTCAACACTCAGGTGTGCTGTGTATATGAAACCCAAACCAGATCTCTTCAGAAATAGTTTATTTTGTATGTATGTATATGTTTGTGTATGTTTATGCACACATGTGCAGGTACTGAGGAGGCCAGAAGAGGGTGTGAGCCTGCCAGCTTGGGTACTGGGAACTGAACTCAGATTCTCTGCAAGAGCAGCAAGTACTCTTTACCATGATACACCTCTCCAGTCCCATAACCCAGATCTTGAAGACTTAGGGTGGGGTTGGAGGAAGAAGGTAAAGTATTTCAATAATGTTTTGTTTGCTTAGGTTTGGCTTTGGTTTTTCGAGATGGGGTCTCTTTCTGTCTAGCTCCAGCTATTCTGAAACTCCACTATGCCTAGGTAAAACAATATCTTTCTAGGAAAAAAAAAAAAGTTAGCGGGGCAGTTGTAGCACATGCCTTTAATCATGGCACTCAGGAGGCAGAGACAGGTGGATCTCTGTGA